TTCTTGCCTTATATATATATATATATATATATATATGTTGAGAATTTTAGGGGCAAAGAAACGTAAAAATGGTCGCAAATCCAGAAGAAAGCACAGAGATTAACAAGGTTTGACAAAGATGCCCACGTTCTCGGGAGTAGAGCGGTAGATTTATTGACACATTTGAAAGATTAAAATAATGTCAGTTTGATAAGTCTATACTCAAATCAAGAATCTTGACAAGACAAATCCAGCGGGCCCAAGATCATTCAATTCTGACATCATTAACACAATCAAATGTCCATCAAATGTCGTTCAATCAAGGGAAATTCTCGGAGTTGTTCAATCAAAGCGATTCATATTTCTGCATTAATTGCACCAAAAAATTCTATAATATATCCCTACTCCTCTCATGAAGAGGGAATAAGTCGGAGGTGAGCTTGAAATCTGAAGAGATAGCTTGGAACTTTAAGAAATAGTTTAAGTCCAGCACCACTTATGCAGTCGTCGATCACCGCTGATCGTTATCGAGCATTGTCGATCGTCGTCGACAACCACCGACCGTCATTGAGCACTCCTGCCTCCTCACCACTGTCGGTCGTCGCTAACCATTGTCGATCGTTTACCGCTGTTGAGCACCGTTTGCCGTCGTCGACCACCACTTGTCTGTTGCCGCTGATCACTATCGATCGCTACCCGTTTCTTGCAAAAAGTTCATCCCCATGCCAGCGTTATAACTTGGGAGATCTTCTAACCATTTTTCGCATATCGGAGAAGTTGTTGCAATTGTAATCATAAATTATAGTGAAACTCATCAGCTGAGCCAGACCCTGTGATTTTTCTTTTTATAGGTTCTCAACATAAAAACTTATGATGCAATTACTATTTGTTTTTCTTTATTTTGTGCGTATGTTAAACCTTCTTATCACACTATTACGATAAACAACTGCTCTACCGTCACAAATTTTCTAGCACGCATCACGTATCATATAATAAATAATTATTTTAACTTTTAAAGAGGTGAAATAAATAATTTTCATACATAGGTGAGGTAGGGTGTGTGTTTAAATTCATGCATATATGTGTGTGTGTGTAAGTCTTAAAGAAATCTGTCTGGGCCCTAAAACTAATAATATCATCACAATTCAAATAAATACATATGGAGTGTGATGCCTTGCAACTCGTCCAGATCCTACATAAGAACTCCAACATCCCATGGCAGCTCATTCACTGGATCAAGAAGTTCTCCCTCTTAACTAAATCAACAAAAGATCATCTAGACACATTGAGGGAAAGAAATCAACCAACAAATTGTCTGGCCAAAAATGGTTGTAATAGTGGGAGAATTTTGTGCTCTACTCTCCCAAATAATTCTATTAAGATTTTGCTTCATGGAGATTCATTGGAATTCCCTTATATCAGATATAATACTCTTTTACTAAATCGAAAAGCCCCTTTTCTCATATATATATATATATATAGAGAGAGAGAGAGAAATGTAAAAACATAAAAATTGTGTGGTATGTTTGTAAATCTTCCTAAAGAGAAATGTAGTACAGAGAAATTTAATCATATAACAAGCATTCTATTAACTTCCTAATCACCTCACATACATTATAAAATGTTTTCTTCCATAATTAAAATAATCAATTATATATAATTAATAGTAATCATGATGATTAGCACATGATAACACCCATGTTTTTAAAAGGCGTTGAAGACTTTATTATATCGTTTGGTAGCAAAATACTGTATTTAACTAAGCATTCATAAATTAAGAAAATAATAATAAAAGGAGCATTTACATACATACCACACAATTCCTATGTATTTACATATCTAACACTTAAAATTTAATATTTGCATGTATATATAGATAGCAGGTAAATCTTCAGTATCACATCATAATAACACTAACATCAACTTTTAAAATGTTCATGCCTATAGAAATTATCAGATCAAAGATTTGCGACTGTTGAATTCAAAATTGTGTGGGAGACACACCAAAGGAATAAAACACTGTAGAAAAAAGAATGGTAGAGAGAGAGTGAGAGAGAGAGAGAGAGTAGTGATGAACGGTAGAAGCGAGTTTATTCGATAAATGATCCTCATTTATAAGCATAGAGGTACAAATATGAGATTACGTTTATGTCACTGTTTCATCAGGATAATAAGGGCTAATTAGTAAATCTCAGGTATGAAACTAATGAGTTCGTCGGCAGGTCCTTCCGAGTAGGAGTCTACCGATCGATATGATTATGGGCAGACCGATAAGTCAGGCTAGTGATATTTAATTGTAAGAGCCGAAGAACGAAGAGGCCAATCGGTCCGAGAGAACTTTTCTGACATGGTTTGAGCGGGAGATAACTAGTCGGTCGATTCTTCCTCCCTTCGCTGTCGTGTTTTCTTCGAACCATCAAATTTCTCAAGATTTGTACCCACACATTTTTGGTATGCAACGAACATGAAAGAAATGTACAATATGTATATAAGTTTTTAAAAATTAAAATAGAAGTCATATTTCTAACTGCCTATGCCGCATATTTGTTCTCTTTAATTATTACAAATTTGGGTATGTTTGGGACTGATGCATCTATTTGTAGAAACAACACTTCAAAACTTTGCAATAACAATTAAACTTTATTTATTTATTCCGAAAAGTCATACCATAACTTTCTAGCAGCCACCTTACATAGTCTGATCAAACCACAAAACGCTACTTTCATCTGCAATTTTTTGAAAAAATAATTAGAACATAGCTTTCCTAAACACAAAAAAAGAGTTCGTCTTAATTTATATAAAAAAAAAGTGTTGTTGAGAAGGGTGTGATAATTACCAAAAAAACCATGCATGTATAGGAGAGCATCCAAGGCTTAGCCAATAGTTTAAACAAAGTTGTTAGCTAACTACTCTTTGTCCATTAATTTAACCATGATTAGGTGCTATCTTCAATTGAATGAGATTTCCTACCAACCTAACCTCACATGGTTCATATCCTCCACTCAATTAATTTTGCAAAAACCTTCAATAAAAATTTATTTCCTATATCTTATAAATATATATATTTAGAAGTTAAGAAATCAAATTATGAGCTATCATGAATAGTTGATATATAATAGCTTGCACGCATTATGGTGGTTAATATAAAATTAAATAAAATGGGGGATTTACATATATACCACTTAATTCCCGTGCATTTATGTGTATAACCCCTGATTTTTATTTTTTAGATATATATGCTACCTTATTTAATGCAAGAAAAGGTGTGTTTTACAATTTTTGAGTTAAAATAGTGATATTCTTATGTGCTATGATATTTTTGGGTGGTATGCGTGTAAATGCCCGAATATAATATATGTCAGACTCATTCAAATATCACTTTCAAGAAAAAAGAAAGGAAAAGAATTTTATTACGTTTAATATATATATATATATATATATATATAATTTTATACTAGAAATATTATTATTTATAAATTATTGTTAAAAATAAATTTTAAAAAAAGATTAATCGAGTCAACCCTGATTGGTTGGAGCAAATTAATTTTTTATCCCTCTTATTAAATAATAAAAAATATGCTTCTAATCTCATATGATTAAAATATTATTAGCTGTGGCGATTAATTAATCACATAATTATGAAGGGAGAAAATAAATAAATTTAGTTAAGCTGACGTACTTAATAGTTAGGCTGTGAGAGCTACAACGCATCGATCATCTGCCCTTATTTGTTTCTTTATTCGAGCGAAGTCTACGAGGTTGTGGGTTAAAATATTGGACGGCTATGATTGGTTCAAATTTTATTTATCTAAGAATCATATCATATATTGCATTGACACTAATTAATAATCGGCTTATTTTAATATGAGAAGTAAAGGATCACAAAGTTATAACTAAGGAAGGTGAAGGATCACTTCCAAATATTGTAGATAATTCTTAGTGTTACATGCAACAATTTCATATATAAAAAAAGGGATATTTGTGTATGACCACACAACTTTTATTGTTAAATTTAAATTTATTCGCAGATCATAATCAAGAAATAGAATATAAGACGCATAAGAATGATAGAAGATGATCTTGAGAAAGAGAGTGAAAGAGAGAGAGAGAGAAAGTCTTGCCCCCTTGGGGGCGAATAGGGGTGGTCCCCGGGCTAGGTGGCCTCTTTTATTCTATAAAACACGATGTTGCAAATGGGGGGAGTTAAAAACACATTTTATATGAAATGACCATTCTATTCATAATGATAGGAGGGTAAGAAAAAATTATAATATTACAATTAGTTTTAAAAGGCGATATCTGATATTTTAGTTTTTTGTATTGATATGTTATGCTAAAAAGTCTTCTGTTAGAATCTTTCGTCAAAGGAAAAGTCCCTCGTCTAACTCCAACTGGTCGAAGGAGAAAGTTAGTTGGGCGACTAAAATGAGGTGGCTGAGGGAGAGGGCTTGTGAGATGGTTGACTACTGGATTGCCTCGAGATCCATGCATACCATTTTTGGTCGATCGGCTGCCGCGAGTGGTGCAGAACTACAAGACTCCCCTCCTGGGGCAAACAACTCTAGGACTCCAGTAGGTGATAACAAAAGTACCAGAATTGAACGTGAGAAACGTCTAACATGGAGTATCATTAGCAAATTTCGTATTCAATGCTTGTTTGATAAATTTTCTTGTCGTTGTTGTGGTTGTCACTATCAATGAACAAACAAATTGTGGAACTTTATACCAAATTTTTATTGATTTACGCATCTCACTCCAAAACTTTCATATTTACACATAAGCAATTCACATATGCATGACAAGGCACATATAAGTACTAAAAAGTGATAATTAGTAATATATCTGATGTGATACCCAAATAAAGGATGTTCAAATATAAATTTTTTAATGTGAGATACATAAATACATAAAAAATTACATATTATGTATGAAAATGCCTCTTTTTATTTTTATGTGATATAAAATATTCATATGTCGCAAAATGTGTAAAAAAACAAAACTTATGTGTTTATAATTATTAACAAAAGAATTATCATCCTAAGATGACTTAAAAACACAATACAAATCCACCATAAACACTCCATCTTATTCACTGTGACAAAACACAAAAATTAACAGAACCTTTTCACTGACATCCATCCGTTGAATCGCGCAGAACAACCGAATTTCAAATCCCGGAGTTGCCGTTTCTCGGCAGAAGCTTCATCGCCTTTAAAAATGTCTCCTTTAGCTTCCCCAAATGCGGCCTCACATTCTGCTTTTCCAAATACACTTGCCAGAACTCATTCCATCCCAACTTCTGCACGCTCTCAGGATCCTTCAGAACTGGATGGTCCCTCGGGTACTGATCCATCAGCGTGCTCTCCTCCATTTCTATTCTGTACTCAAGATAATGGAGCTCCAAATCCTCAGTAGCCTTCCCAAAAGTCTCTCTTTGCAGCCACTCAGGCGCCCCAAAGGGAGCCATCTGAATCACCACCGCACCGGCAGGCAAAAACAGCATGTTTGTAAGCCCGGCGCCGTGAACTCCGAGCAGCACATCAGCAGAATTCACCAATCTGGCAAACTTGGACAGATCAGTGTTCACATCAGCCTCATCGACCAGGACTTCGAATCCCAGGCTCGTAGCCATCTCCACCATCCCCTTCACCTGAACGAATGACCTCGAACGCTTCCTGGATATGATCAGCAGCCTGGGCTTCCTCACACTCCCCTGGAACACGGAGCTGGATATGTCTGCTCTCTCCAATCCATATGCTCTCCTCAACATCACTTTGAAGTCCACAATGGAGTAGCCTGTAGGGGAGTTTGTTGAGTCCACACCCATCTCTTTGTGGAATTGTAAGCCGATGATTGCTCTCGGAAAGCATCGAATCATGTCACCACCATCGCGGAGGACATGGATGATCTCATAGCTGGACATCTGTTTCAGTATCAGCTTGTACCTGCTCAGCCACCATGGTTTGACGTCCGCGACCAGGAACTGGACCTGTCCGTTGAATTGGTGGGAGGAGATGAAGAGGGGAATCAGCACATCAGTGAAATCATGGAAAATGTTGCCAGTAAAGCCAGCGATGGAGAAGATGACAGCAGGGACCATCTGTGCCACAGTGCAGTTTGGAATTTGTTGCGCAAAAGGCTTCAGAGACCATTCAGTTACATGACGGAGAGCGCTGTGATAGCCTTTTCGGGCATAAGGTTTGATCTTCCATTCTTGCGGAGATGTACTGACAAAAACAGTGCTGGAGCTGCCCTGCACTCTGATATCTCCTCTTGCATCGCAGGTATCAGACCTCTTGTTTGAGTCACGGCAAATTGGTTTTTGGGAGGAGATGGCAGCAGAGTTTTCTTCAGCATCTTCATCTTCTGCAAATAATTCTGAAGAACACATATGGCTTAGTTTATGTGTGAAATCAGTGGTTACTAGTATCAAAGTGTAATTAATCCGCTGAATAATGAAATAATTTTACCATCTATTGCTGAGCTGCCCCTGCTTTCTTCTCTTAGCTGATTCGCCACAACCTTGCTTGGTTGTTCCAGCTTCAGTGGAGCTTGCAGTTTACCTGCAGAATCAATGGCTATTAAGTTTGATATTTTCAGAAAAAAAGATTTGGGAAGAGAGAAAAAAGGGAGAGCAAGAGAGAGACCATAGGGAGCCTGGCAGTAGTGAGACTTGATGTTAGAGAGGGCATAAATGGAGAGCATCAAGCAGAGGATGATGAGAAAATTGCAGATTCTTCTTGTATCTTGCCTGGTGAAAATTCTCCAGCTTTTCATGCTTCTGGCGCTCTCCATGTTTTCCTGTGCTCCTCCCTCTTTGGTTCTCTGCTTCCTTATGCTACTTATATCGCTCAAGTTCTGCTGCCTCTTCTACTGGTTTTTGATGTGAAGGCTAGCTGCGATGGCTCTAAGTCATGGCTGACTGATTGGAGAACAAATAATAGAAACTTGCAGCTTAGTAAACTAAAGAAAGTTTCATATTACACGCATGAATTTTGATTAAACAAATGAACTTGCCATTTCTACAAGTTTTATATTACACGCATAAATACAATAAATTAAAATATTTAAAAAAATTTTAAATAATTTCTAAAATTTTGATTCATTAACAAATGCAACCTCCCATGTAAGAACATTTCTTCTGATGGTTCAAAAAATTGGTTTCTTGTAAGAAAATGCCATTTTTGAAGCATCGAAATTTAAGAAAAGGAATGACAGGAAGACACCCTTTTCAGCATAATGACAGAAAATTGTTAATGGATTTCAAAATGATTACATCAACTGAATGACGCATTAGCTATTGCTACTGTTGCCGTAAAAACTACCTAAATCAATTGTGAAATGGCCATCGAGCACACGATTTGTTTGGGCAGTTGAAATGCACCTATGCTTTGGATGAACTTAAAGGCTTAAATGTAATATTAAATAATATATCTTTTATAATTGTGCAAATAATATTACTGATGATAATAATATTGCTTTCTACAATATTAACATTAGCTATACTAAATAGAACATTTAACATCTTAAAATTGTAAAAAAATCAAGCTCATTATTGAATATAAATTTATTTGTGAATCACACCCAATGTATAAAGAGTAAAACATGAGGGTGAGAGACTGACAAAAAAAGAGAGAATGCACACGAGAGATGAACAATAAAATAAAAGAGTTGTATTGACCTCTTCCAATCTTCCTGGCTAATGTTGTGTTACCTTTCATTTAAAACATGATCCCATGTTTTTAAAACACGATCCCTTGTTTATAAAGGAATGGGGTACAATATATAAATTGCATTTGTGCCACTGCTTTAGTGACGGATGTACATGTTATTCTAGGTATTTTACATATGAGGGCCTGAGCCTAACTATTTTCTAGCTTGATAAATGGGTTGGTGTGACTTTGATAGGCGTCATCGACTGGATAACCTTAGCAGATGTTGTCAATCAGCTGATAAATGGGTTGGTGTGACTTTGATAGGCGTCATCGGCTGGATAACATTAGTAGATGTTGTCAATCGGCTGATCTTTTACTGGCTAAGTGTTGACAGGGCTGCTCTGATCGGCTAAGTCTTGCAATCAGTTGACATGGTTCGATCATTGACTCATGATCCCTAGCAAGGAACTTCTGTCGAAAAAATAATGCTATATTATCGAACAAAGGGTGAACCACCTTAATTCGATAGGTAGCTTGCCTTTAAAGAGTTCATGAGGGATGGCTAAAACTTGTTGGTTTTATTTTCTCTTGAAGTTACTTGGAGTGAATCTCATATGCCTCTGACGTGACAACAATATTGGAGGGGTTAATTTCTTCCATGCGTTGGTTTAATCATGGCGATAGAATTGGATTGCCCCTTGTCTTGTATCTGATTGAGCCGCTCAAACTCAAGTCATTCGGTCAACTTTATGACCTAGTCAACCTTTGTTTTGATAAGTCCAGTATGACATCTAGACCTTCAAGTCTTTTGTTAGTAGGCCCTCACTTGGCACCTCTCCTGTTTTGCGCTGTAAATCTCCTCAAGATTCATACCGAAACTTTTTCCGCATGCACCTATACATAATAAAAGAAGAGTTATAGGAGACAAAAAAACTTACATAAGATGTTTGAAAAGAGAATTTTTTTTGAGGTTGGGCCAATCATAAAACGTTGATGACCCATCTAGTGATGCAATGCCAATTGGTTGGTGCCAAGTAAATGCTCTCTATTTATGTGTTTATTTTCTGCCTTGGATGGACTCAATATGCTGCTTGACATAACTACACTCTCTAGAAATTTCATAATTTTTCTCTCCTATAAGGGATTATTGCAAAAAACTCTATAGTTAGTGGTAGCAATAAACAAAATAATATTAGTTTCACTTAAAATCCATGCTTACTCTTTAATCAATTTGGTCACTCAACTCATCAAATATGACGCCACTTAATTTTCAATGTGTAGAGATATTGCTTTTCCCTTTTCTTTCTTCTTTAGAGTTATTCTTTTTTCTCCTATTGTTGGTACCTATTCATGAGCCAATATACAACTAATTAAATGATTAAGTGAATAAACAAAAAGATTCCAAGATCATATAATTAAATGATTAAGTGACGAGACTTCTTTTCTTTTGGTTTTTACCATGTTATAATATTTGAAAATATCTTTATTTTAATATGAGTGACTTTATCCCAATCACTTAAGTGCGTGCTCCGCCCTCAAACTTATACGCAAATAGAAAATATAGCAAAATGATCACTTGAACTTATCGAGCTCTCTAAAATTTATATATCTAGAATCCTCGACTTTTTTCATCATTACCTAACCAACTTTAGTTTTAGCAATTTTATATACACTTCACATAATTGCTATACAATTATCTTGTTAACATCTCAAATTCCATGTTTATAATTATAACACTTTAGCATTATTAATTTATGCATAAAAATATATATTTGAAGTTCAATAATCTAAGTAATATTAATATTTTTAATTTAATATTAAATATTTGATTAACATGCATATAAATATAAAACTTAAATAATAAATATATAAATACAAAAACCCTTTTTTTTTTTTTTGGGATGTTTACATACATGACACATATTATCATGTATTTAGCATTTTAGTATTTTAAGGCTATACATGAAAATATGCATTTAACTTTTAAAAAATAATATTAATATTGTCTTTGATGTGATATTTAATATTGGAGTATTATGGGGTTGGTTATGTAAATACATAAAAATTGTGTTCTATGCATGTAAATGCCCCATTTCATGTAAGAACTATGTATTCGGTTTCATGTGTATGCCCGAAATGTAGGCAGAAAGATCAAAGCTGAATCTTCAGTAGTCCGCCTTCGTTTTTGTCACTGCGGGGGTTGGTTGGTAGGTAGGTAGGTAGGTTGAGATGGCTTCGGTGACATTGAACGCTCCTTCAAGCCGCTGGATCGGTGGGAGTAGGCAGCTGAACCGGCGGGCAGCATTTCGGCCGGAGATTCGGCGGGTGGCGGCGACGGTCAGGGCTGGATCGTACACCGAAGAGCTTTTGCAGACCGCTGTGAGTTGTTTCTCAGACTTCCCATTTCTGTATGGATCTTTCATCTTTTTCTATGTTTAGCGTTTTGTCCATCTTTGATTTGAAGATTCCGGATTAATAGAGAATCAGGTAGCTATGATTTATGCGCGTAAGATGAGGGGCTACAGAGGTAATGAATTTTTATTGTAGTGGAGGAGTGCTGCTAATACCCTCCTAATAGCTGAGGGTTCTCGGTAGAACATTAAACTTGGTACGTAGCTCGTGGAATTTTTGTTTTGGTATAGCCTTTTTAAGCATCTCCTCTGGTTGATCCCTAGGTGTGGATGTTGTCAATCAGAATTTGCTTGGCGTTGATTTGATCTCATATAAAATGGTAATCAATCTCTATGTGCTTCGTCCGGACGTGAAAGATAGTGTTGTCGGCTAGTGAAATTGCAGAAATGTTGTCACAATAGAGTGTTGTTGCTCTTCATTGAAACGCGGTGTAATTCGTTCTTAAACTGAATCACACGAGATCTGGTCGTGGGTTTTAATCGTCGTTCTAGTGTTTTTCAGATAGCACCTGTATTGTGAAAATGTAGGATGTGGGGAAGCACAGTTGGGGAGATGGTGGAGTATAGGGATGCTGTGAGATTTTGATCTATGAGGTTCCATAGATTGAAGTGTGGGTTTTCGATAACAGTAGTGTTTTTGCCAATGAATCTTAGAGGACAAGGGCAACTACCATCAAAGAACCCCATGAACCCATTTGTCATAAAGATTTTTAGAATTTGGCCTCGTCAAACATTATAGTTCTCAGTGGTTAACTGGTTTTGGGTTAAATTTTCAGGTGAGAAAGCAATAATTTTAGGGAAGGTGGAATTTTGGTGTTTGATATATTATGAAGAAAAGGGGATTGGAATTCAGAGATGATTGATTCATCCATTTGAGAGTACAAGTGATAGAAAATATCTAACAAATTTTAACTTTATTTGACTTAGGATTAATTAGAAACTAAACCACACTACGAAATAACAAGATCACACCAAATTGAGAAAACCATAATAACGAATTAAATAGAAAACACAATAAAAATAAATAGAAATATACATGAGAATTTTATGTGGAAAAACCCGAGAGCAGGAAAAAACTACGGAGCCAAACAACTAGAAATTTCCACTATATTTTTTCCACAAACAAATAAAACTTACATGACTCGCTCCACAACCTTCCCTCTTCGATCAAACGCAAGAATCACGCTGAGTCACAAAAATCCACATCTTCAACACTTTCACATTCATTGGGATGCTTGTCGAAGAATACTGAGGGAAGAAAAAAGACATAAAAACATTTGAGACCTTCTCGAAATCAGACTTAAAAAACTAAACTCCGACACTAACAGCTCTTGATGCTTAGGCGCCTAGACTTGGCGCCTCTGAACGCCTAAGCGACAAGCTCTCTATATCGGCACCCAATAATGGGCGCTTATGCACCAACTGGTTGGCGCATAAGCGCCGATCTCCTTGGATCAATGCAACGCTTACTCTTATATGTGGGCGCATATGTGCCCATAGCCGGTGCATAAACACCTGCTCCACTGTGAACCACAACACATATTGACGCTTATGCGCCAACAACCCGACCCATATGTGTCGGGCGCTCTGTTCATGCTTTATCTCAACACACTATGACAATCTCCCACTTGAAGACAATAACACCGAACACCAGTCCTTTGTAATTGCTCTTTGATCTGAATGGCCTTCATAGTCATGTACCGTAGTCACATACCGTGGTGTGGTTCATCTTTGGTGTCAACCTTCATGAAACCCAACTGAAGCCAAGCATAACTTTAATTTCTCGATAGTCACAACTTTCGTTAACATATCCACTAGATTCTGAGCTGTGTGTATCTTCTCCAGGAACAGCTGCGCAACTTCAAGAAGAGAGTGAGTAAAATGATACTTCGATTGAATGTGTTTCGTCCTGGTATATGAAGATCTACATTAGAGTCAAAAGTCCTTTCTTCAAATAAATCTAAAATTGAATGCATGGAATGTGATTTTAGTAGTAGTAGATCTAGTGGCAAAGTTGTAACCATGATTTTTCCTATGATCAAATCTTCAAAATGTGCGAACATTTTAGATATCTCTGTTATATTGTTCAAAGTGATGGTGATATTGATGGGGATGTCATTAGTAGAATTCAAGCTGATTGGTTGAAGTGTAGGAATGCGTCCGACCTATCATGTGATAGAATAGTACCACTTAGACTTGAAGGAAAAGTTTATAAGATAGCAGTGAGACTTGTAAACTTGTAATGCTTTATGGTGGTGCAAAATGTTGGCCTTCAAAAGAGAAGCATAAAACTAAGTTAAGTGTTGCTGAGATGAGAATGCTTATGTCGATGAGTGGCTTGACACTTAGAGACAATGCGAAACAAATGTATCCGTGAAAGGATTGGTGTAGTTTTAGTGGTAAACAAGATTAGAGAGAATCGTCTTAGATGTTTTGGTTACATTAAACGTTGGCCATGTGATGATCTGGTTAGGAGAATAAATGCTTTATATTTGACTTGGTTAAGAAAGGTAGGGTAGACTTAAAAAGACTTGGGCATATTTTATAAAAAATGTTCTTAATTTAATGAAATTAAATGAAAATAAGGCATAATGGAGGAAAATGATTCATGTAACTGACCCCACTTAGTGGGATAAAAAAATTTTTGTTGTTGATTTTGCATCGTATCTCTCCATTCCATCGCTACATCCAATTTAACCATATGATATATTTCAAATTTCTGAACTTTTATGGATGCTTCATTTGTTTGTTGACATATTATTTTTGTATGTAGAAATCAATTGCTTCTCCAGGACGTGGTATTTTGGCAATAGATGAATCAAATGCTACTTGTGGCAAGAGGCTAGCCTCTATTGGTTTGGACAATACTGAGGCCAATCGGCAGGCTTACAGACAGCTATTACTGACAGCCCCTGGTTTGGGTGAATATATTTCTGGGGCTATTCTTTTTGAGGAAACACTTTATCAGTCCACAGTTGATGGAACAAAGTTTGTGGATTGCCTGAGGGCGAAGAAAATTGTCCCTGGAATCAAAGTTGACAAGGTTTTCTTTCCTAGTCTTTGTTTGCTTCAGCTTAATGAGAGTTTTTCTCATCACTTCCTGTCGCCAGGGTTTGGTTCCATTGCCAGGTTCAAACAATGAGTCTTGGTGTCAAGGATTGGATGGACTGGCATCTAGGTGTGCTGAATATTACAAACAAGGAGCTCGCTTTGCTAAGTGGTTTGTCTTGACTAATAAGGGGCATTTACATACATACCGGCCAACTCTTATGTATTTACATATCTAACACGTAAACTTCGATTTTTACCTTTATACTGCCCAACTCTTTCATATCACATAAAAATATCACTATTTTAATTTTTAAAAAAATAAAACACACCTTTACATGTAGAAGTAAAGGGGCATATACATGTCAAAATTTGAAGTATAGGTGTTAGATATGTAAATACATAAGAATAGATTGGTATGTATGTAAATTTTCCTATTAATAATACTTGTTTTATATTTGGATTCTCAATGAAACTTCAATCCTTATGTGTTACTTGTGTATGTTTCACTAGGCGGACTGTTGTAAGCATTCCTTGTGGTCCTTCTGCTCTGGCTGTAGAAGAGGCAGCCTGGGGGCTTGCTCGTTATGCTGCTATCGCTCAGGTATCATGATTTTATCATTCCACATCTTGAGATGATCATAATGTGATTATTCTTTGGTGAATGATTCAGGCTCTGCAGTTATTATTCAATGCATTGTATGCCTGAAAAGAACTCCAATTTTTATGCTTCTGCTTTTCTTGCCTAAAGTTGTTTTTACTTGGAAGGCTGTGGCTCATTCACATCTAGTTTTCTTGGAAGAATATTCATATATTTTCTTGTGTGCAACTGATATGTCTCGGCACCAAAATCAGTGAACAAACCATGACAAAATCACAATAGATAGGTGGAAAAAACACAAATAAGGGCAAAATCTAAGGTTGATCTATTATTTGAGAGGTAATTCGTCTCTCCCACACTAAACGTCGCTAGCCACAACAAAATATGCTTGAAAGAAAGCAAACCCTAGGTTCTCCCCCTAATAGAATCTCTCCCAGCATTTGAAAAATTTTTCTTCCTAGGTTTCCCTCCTAACTTCTTTAATTTATCCTCCTTGCATAGGTGGTCATGGCTTAGTGTACCTAACTCTTTCCTTTCCTTCTTCTATGGCTCCATCTGTCTGCTCCGTTGTTTCCCGTCGTCGAGACCAACCTGCCTGTGGGTCAATTTTGCTGCTTTCTATCGGTCAAGAGTGGACCGACTCGTGTAAAGGCAACTTATTACGCCCGTGTAAGGGCGACTCGTGTGAGGACGACTCACGTAAGGATGTAACATTACTTCCCTCCTAAACAAGTACCTTGTCCCCAAGTTGGAAGGATGGAAACTGCTTGTGGATCACCTCGTAAGGCTCCTATGTCGCCTCACAGTCTGGTAACCCCTTCCATTTCACTACTCATTTGCTCCCCTTACTCCTCGGGCCCTCATTCAATCTCTAACTGTTCCAAAATCACCTTCAAGTTTTTTGTTAGCGTTGGCGGTAGTTTAGGTGAGGGTGTATGATCTCCAATCGCCCGTCTCAGCTGTGATACATGGAGACCGGGTTTAGTGCATTAGATAGTGGTAACCTCAAAAGATAAGCCACTTCCCCGATGCGTGCCACCACCTTATATGGTCCAAAATATCGTGGTGAAAGTTTCTCGCTCCTCCTGGACAATGCCTTTTGTCGGTAGGGCATTAGCTTTAAGTAGACCATGCCCCCTAGTTCAAACTACACCTCTCTCCTGTGTCCGTCCTCCTTCCTCTTCATGATTTGTTGAGCCCTCAGAAGATGTCCCTTGAGCTCTACTTGTATTCTGTCCCTCTCCTCCAAGTAATGATCCACACTAGATACCGGTGTATTGCTATACCCATAATGTGTTAGGTGAGGCAGATCCCGCCCATACAATATATTGAAAGGAGTTGTCTATGATGCGGTGTGGTATGAAGTATTATACCAATATCCGACCCATGCAATCCACTTAACCCATAACTTTGGTGTATCAAATACAAAATAATGTAGGTATGTCTCCACACTTCTGTTGACCACCTTCTTCTGCCAATTGGTCTGAAGATGATATGCAATGCTTATTTTATGGATCGTCCCTTGCAACCTAAATAACTCTTTCTAGAAGTAGCAGAGGAACACCTTGCCTCTGTCTGATACAATCGATTCCGACACCTCGTGCAAACGGACAACTTCCTGGATAAATACTCCCATGACTGAGACCGCCTGGTAGGGATGTCATAAGGGTATAAAATGTGCATACTTAAGCGATTCACGATAATCATCATGGACCCTTCTGACCGTAGCAACCCCTCGATAAAATCCATCGTCATTTCTTCCTAAACCTTCTCCAGTAATGCTAATGGTTGTAGTAACCCCTGGTGTCGTGGTCAAGTACTTGCGCCGCTGACACACATCACATTTTGCCACCATGTTCTCCACGTTTTTTGTGCATTCCCACCCAATAAAGCTCCGCCGTAAAATGACTATACGTCTTCTACACCTCTAAATGTCCCCCGATCGCACTGCCATGAAACTCCTATAATAATCTGAGATTATACTCCAACGAATTGAATAACACAAATTGCCTCTGATGAAGCAACTGCTGTCCCCTCAATTCATGTCCTGGATGACTGTTCGGATCCTATAGTAATTTGGCTCTTATCTTCCTCAACTCCTCATCCTTTTCGCTCTCCTGTCTCAAAGCTTACTAATTTAGGACTGAGAGTACCGATAAGGCTGTCAATTTGGGTTTCCTTCACCTTTCTCGACAGTGCATCAACTGCATTGTCCTCCAATTCTAGTATGTACTGAATCTCGAAATCATACCCCAGTAGCTTGGATAGCCATCTCTAATGTTCCTCAGTCGTCATCCGTTGCTCCAAAAATTCCTCTGATCCGTCCTGACAAAAAAATTGTTGTCCCAACAGATAAGGCTATCACTTCTGAATGACCAAGACAATGACCATTAATTCCCGTTCATATACTGACTTTAGGCTCGCTTTGGCTGTAAGAACCTGACTGAAGTAGGCAATCGACTGTTGATCCTGCATGAGCGCTGCTTCCAATCCATATCCTGAAGCATCCGCCACCACCACAAATGGTTTATTGAAATCTGGAAGTGCTAATAGTGGTACCCTTGTTATGACCCTCTTTAGACGTTCAAATGTTCGTGTTACTGCTTCCTGACCGCTATTTTTTTTATGGTACACTTAATGATTTAGGATTTAAATATTATAATTTTTGAATATATTTAATAAATTTAATAACTTAACTTTTCATGTTAAATCACTTCACATTAGGTGTTAACGTAAGTGCCTGTATCGTTTAAGTAATATAAGAGTTTCTTTTAGTCTCGATTATCGAACCCACAGGGAACTGATGCAGGCAATCACTTTAAGAGAAGTTCTAGTCTACTACTATAAGGTTTGGAGTTTCGATATATGTGGTTTTACTATCAATACTCCTAAATTACTATTTTAATCCTATGATAAAACTTATCTGGAGCAATTAATAAGGTTAAATTCAAGAGTGATAAAAAGTACTTTCTTTTGTAAATAATTAAGTAGGTTATAGATTATAAGTTTAAGAATATGAATAAAGTAGTGATAAAAGGAGCATATATCTAACTACTCTCTCTTAAGTTATAGACAAGATTAGTTCAATAATTAGTTATTTGCTTTTGGCAACGGTGGTAGTTGGTGCCACATATAGGCTCCCCATAACTACATGCCCCGCTTGTCACCCAAAAAACTCTAATCTGAACCTCTCAAATTACTTATCTCCCTAACTTTGTACAACCACCTAACTACTGAGTTTCACAGTTAAATGACAATGTGAACGTTCTCATGTTGACCCACCACCGTTTCTCTGAGTCCTAATGGGTGTCACAACAAGTTTTAACAAATCTTATGGTCGGTAAAATATGCAAATTAAGTCTAGGAGAATATTCATCACATATAAATTAATAATTAAACTTCTACACACTACACTTATTACCAAATCATCAAAAAAGAAAAACACAGGGTTTCTACTCACAATGCATGATAAAATCAATAAACAACTTCATGAAACAAAGTGATTAAACTAAATATGTGATTTAAAAGATCGCAAAACAATCGAACAAATTGATAAATACGTGTTTAATGGATTACAATGCAAACCAAACATACAATACTTAGTTTTAATCTCTCTGAAATCCTTCCACTGAAGTTCTTTACTGTTTTTTGCAATTGTTGATACAATCTCTTACAAATGCTCTCAAATTCCCTTTCAAATCCCTATAAATAAGTGGAATCCTACTCATAATATGGATTTCCTGCAACCCTTTGAAATGCTCCTAATATGGATTTCCTGCAATCTTCAAATGACAAAAATCCCTTTTTCCATTGCCTCGAATCACTAATTAACTTCCAGAAAACTTCCAGACAGTTATGGCGCCTAGGCGCCCAGATGCGGTGCCTAGGCACCATCTTCTCGGTCAGCTTGGAGAAGCAACTGGCGTTTAGGCGCCAGTATGCGACGCCTAGTTGCCACTTTCTTTGGATATTCTACGGTGTCCTGTGCCTAAGTGCCAAAAGCTAGCGTCATGGCACCAGTTTAGGTCCAAGCATCCATTGCTCCATTTGCTTCGTTTCACTCCGTTTTCACTCTACTTCGCTCCAATTGCTTTACTTATTATACCTGCACCAAAAACATGAAAATACATTTCTTTAAAGTGCAATTTCTTTTATAAACTAATATAAAAAGTATAAGAAATTAAGCATGCAAAAAGACATCACTTCTTCTGAATTGAAATTGTCTTTCTTCAACTGCTTAGTCAATGACCATGCTATCTTGCCACATTCTCTCATGAATTTTCGGTAGCAACCTGTGAGTCTCAAGAATCCTCTCAACTCCTTCAAATTCTTTAGTAAGAGCCAATCAACCATAGTCTCCATCTTGGACTGATCTACTACTACCCCCGTTCCGGTCACATGTCCTAGGTACTCCACCTATAATTGTACAAAAGAACATTTCTTGAAGTAACTATATAACTGTTGCTCACTCAACATCTCCAGGACTGTCCTCAGGTGCATCACTTGCTTTGTCTCTGTACGACTGTAGATCATAATATCATTAAAAAAAATCAGGACAAATTTCCGGAGATAAGGTTGAAAAACCCTATTCATGTGGGATTAAAATTTCGCTGGGGCGTTGGTGAGGCCAAACGATATCACTAAGAACTCATAATGTCTTTCATGTGTCCTAAATATTCACTTGTGCACATTCGTTCGCTTCATCCTGATTTGGTGGTACCCCGACTTAATGTTAATTTTTAAGAAAATGACTGCCCCATAAAGCTCACCTAACAACTCTTCAATTATAGAAATATGAAACTTGTAAGTACCGTTTTCTTATTCAAAGCCCGATAGTACACGCAGAATCTCTAACTACCATATTTTTTCTTCACTAACAGGATGAAATTGGGAAAATGGCTCACACTAGGCCTGATAATCCCTGCTACGAGCATTTCTCGAATTAGCTTCTCAATCTCATCATTATGAATCTGGGGTACCTATATGGTTCGACGTTGATGGGC